GTTTCTCCAAAGATTGTCTCATTTACATCATTTTGTTTTTATTTCTTTGATTGTGCTTTACAGCAGCTAATTAATGCAATTCAGCAACATATAACAGGAAAGCAGCTCCCAGTCGTTAATTCTTTCTGGTATGTGTTGTTGTTGTTGTTTGTTTGTTTTAAATCAGTAGTTCGGTTCATCATAATAAATTCTTCAGGATTGAATGATTCTCTATTCAGGGCACCAGATAGATATTTACCAACGATAAGTCAGTCCACTCTAGTTTAATCAAGACAAACAATTGTTTGCTTCAATTAGACTGTAACAAGGAGAAAAATGAAACTTAGCTAAAACCAAAGAAAAAACCTCTTTATAGCTTACTGGCATCCAAACTTTTGCAAATTCTTACAGCTCTACATTCTAGAATAAGCAATGAAGACCTACTGCTGTTTCTCTTCTCGTATGCATTTCTGCTTTATCTCCAGGAAGCTGGAAGGAGAAGTTAATTGTGTTGTCATAGGTAGACAAGAGCTGCTGAATTGTGTTGTTATTTGAACACAGGCAAACCAAAGCCCCAAGATTTTTTTCCTTGTAACCACAACAGCAGAGATGTTACAAGCATATAGAGGACAGGAATTCGTATTTCATTCACTGTGGAATTCATCTATCCTCTTCCCAATTTGTTTTTCCAAAATTGCTTGGAAATGTGAGATTTTCCAAGAAGACAATGCTGAAGCAAGCAGAAAAAGAGTATCAAGGAATGCTGTAGTAATCATGTTTGATGTACTAGTTCACTTTTGGGCACAACAGAAACTCTGCTTCCGAGCTCTGTTTCATTCACTAGAGGAAGGTTTTGAGGAGATGTTTGGTTATGCTATTATTTGTCTGGTTGCCTAATTTGTACATCAGGACCACCTAAAACCACCATCCTTCCTCTCCTTAACATGAATGAGTTATCCTAGCTCACACTTGGGGTTGGACTGGCAGTTCTTTCCAGTGTCTGCCAGAAGCAGTGTTTTCCAGAAGAACTGTTAGCCAGAAGGTCACAGACCAAAATGTTTCACATCAGATTAAGTAGGTATATAATTAGCTACCATCTTTCAACTTAAACCATAAGACAGTATGAATAGTATTTTGCTTATCTTTGGGTAAAGGTAGATATATGAAGTCAACTAGCTATCTTTAATTTCTTAGAAGGTATTTCATCATAAAGCTATTGACCTCATGCTTGTAACAATTTTAGTGCTTATGCTATTAGCTAGGTACTTGCCATTAGTCACATTTTGTTGCAATTGGTCACTAATCCTTGGATTCCGTGACACTAACTGAGGCAGTTTGGAAATGCAGACAAGTCTGCTTTACATCCAATAATCAGCACTGCCTCGGACTGCATTTTATCTGGAGAACGCTTATTTTGGAATCCTCTGGGATCTTCTTAATAAAGGCTAAGCTGTTGTGTATTGATCTCTGTATTATTTGTAAGGGTCTTTGCTTTCTGTATGTCTGATATTAGGAATCAAAATAGCTTCTGTGCAGCAGAGCAGCAGCTTCAGCAACATGCTTTGGGTTGGCTTATCTTGTTAGGGAGAGAGTGATCCATTCCCAGCACCTTGGAGCCTGTTAGATTTTCTGATGTTTAGCATGTTTGCTTGAAATAGAGCCTGACTTTTCTTTGGTGCTGGCGCTTGTGCCTCTGCTCTCTACAGATGATCACCTCTTCCTTTGGAAGCAGCTGCTGTGCAGTGCTAAGAACTCTGAAATCCTTTTTTGTTCCACTGAAAGATTGGTTTATTTACTGTCTGCTTTTGGTTATTACTTAATCTTACACTTTTTCCCTCAAGAAAAAAGAAGTAATCTTCATGGAGTTTCCGGTTTGCTCCGTGGCCACAGAAGGAAACGCTGTGGTGTCACTGATTGAAGAGGCTGATCAGTTTTGAATCAGAGTGCATTTGTTTTCATTTTACAGCTGAGCTGCATCTCGGAGAGATTTATTTTGAGGTAGAACGTAGTGAAAATTGCTAGGTTGATGTCCCCAGTGACCAGTTTCTCTGTTCTCTTGCAGGACAGTTGCAACAAAGACATCTCTAGTATGTGCTGCTCCCCAGATCTCATCCCCTGTTTGAAAGAAGAGCTTTTTGGTTGTAAGGCATGCCTGAGCACCCAGAAGGTATTTAGGCAATCAGAGAAATGAGCTCTGACCACTGCAATTCACTGAATCGTCTTTAGGGCTGTAGATTTGGACCTTTTCAGTTGGTGCTAAAGCAGGGTCTGCGTGAACAAGAAAGTGTCCTGGGCAACACACAAAGCAACCATTTGATGCTGCGTGTCCCACTGTGCTGAACAGCCACTGCATGGCAAAGACACCAACGTCACAGTGGGTTAGGTCTGCACTAGTGACTGGGAGAGGAAGAACAGCCTGCAGGACAGAAATTTGTTTTTACAGCAGAGGGAAAATTCTCCCAAACAATAAAATCAGGTTAGTCGATGAGGAACAATAATGAGGATGTCAACTTTTCTGGGCTTTTGTACACTAATCTTGGTGCTCTTACCACAGGGACTCTCTTGGTTCACTCTCATGTCTCCGTGCCAGCCAGTGGGCAAGGAGCTGTGTGTAACAGGACGAGGCTGGGAGATGTTTGTGCTCGTGAGCAGGTAAAACACTGCTGGCAGGTCAAGCACATCTGAGGGAAGTTACATCCATGCTGCAGCACTTTTCTTCTCAGAGAGAACTCCACTGGCTTTTTGCTCAATCCACCCAGCCATCAGCTTGTATGAAACTTTCAGATGCATAATGCTCCTTAAGATTTTGGCTACTCTCTTAAATTTGCTTAAAGTTAGCTAGGAGGCCTAGAAATTAAAAAAAAATAAAAAATGAACCAATGAGCAGACAGAGATTGGTGAAGTTATTGTCCCTTCAAAACAAACAAACAAACAAAAACAAGCAAACAAAAAAACAAACCACAATAACAACAACGGAAATGGGCATAATTTTTATTGACTTTTAAAGGGAGAGGAGAGGGAGGAGGTGGTAGAATTAACAGTACAAACTTAATAACTGGTAATCTTCCTGTCCAACATTATTTTTGAGCTACACTGCATATTTAATTTTGACAGGAAATTAGTTAAAAAAAAAGATAATTTGCAATATTTCCTGTAGATTTTGTGAAAAGACTGTGATCAAATTATATATTCTATGGCCTGAGAAAGATAAAAGCAAGTCTCAACAGCTTGATGCAGCATTTTAGCCTCATAAATATAAAAACAACCAAATCATTACCCATAATTATCATGCAAAATAAAGAATAACAAGTATTTCTATTTCTATAGTTGGGGGGGTTGTTTTTGTGATTTTGTGAGTGTGGGCTTTTTTGTTTTTGTTTCTGTATTTTTTTTTTTACATAAGTGATAGTTTTAAAGGGTTTTTAATTACATACTTGTAATATACATTTAGAAAGCTGGCAGCGCACTCGCATCTAGCAGCATCCCACCTGGAGCTAAGAACTTCTTTAAAGGAGTTTTTCTTTCCTTCCTGCTGCAGTTTTGAAGAATTTGTAGATCGAGTTGACCTTCTAGTTGACATTCACGGAGGAAACACTTCATCTTCTGGCACAAATTATTCCTTTATCTTCTGCACAAATTACCCCACCTTGCCTCACCCCAATGCCCGATCTGTCCCTTGAGTCAATGGAAATCCCAAAAGTGCTCAGTGCTGTTATAGCTCTGCTCCCTTCTGTAATTAACAAGGGTTACTGATGATGCTGTAGCTGAACGGGACTGTCTTGAAAATCCTGTCCCTTATCGCCAGCCCTGCACTGCCCACTTAAAAATGTAAGGACATAATGCTATTTCTCTGACCCGATGCTCTAAGAATACACAAGAGCAAAAAAATATGGCTTAGAATGTAGAATACTTCCCTATTCCTGACTAAGGTGTTAATTCCTCTTCTTATTTCAGTTTCATATCCCTGAAGTCACAGGATTCTGCTCAAGCAAAGCAGAAGGGAATCAACCCTGTAGCTGTCAGTGCCAGGTCAAAGGTCGAACTGGCTGTTGACCAAGATGTATGAGCAGCAAATACCCCCACTTCCCCTTTAGCCTATTTATTTATTAGGGCTGGATTCTATTTCAGTATAGCGTGTTAATAAGCAAAAAGCATCAAGACATTTGCTCCGGAAAATTCTTCCAAAACCAAAACCTGCATTTCTCTGCAACTTCATTAAACACAACATTCAGCCAATGATACTTTCAGACAGACTTTCCAGTCCTTCTTTACTACACAGTACCTTGCAGTGGTGGCTGGGACTGATGTAACCAGTGAAACCTTCTACAACATCATGAATTAAGTGCACACCTGGCAGTTAGGAGTATATTTATGATGACAGAGCAAGGAGCTGAAGACAGTGTTTCTGCTTAGTGTTACCTACGAACTCCAGATGGAAAGGAACCACCTAGCTATTCAGCCAGTTCCCTCTTCTCCCTTTTCTCTCACCATCTACAGCACCTGTGCTTCCAGCTAAGAGGGTGAGAAATTCAGCCAGCCAACCCAGCCAGGTTTCTGCATAGGTCAGCACTTACTTGTGTTATTATTACATCTCTCTCTCTCTCTCAATATATAGATTGTGACCAAGCACTGATTTTTGGGTGAGCTGTAGGGGAGTTGATGTCTAAGGCTAGCCCTGAGGATGTAACTAGTTAAAGTCAGTCCCGCAGGATGGCTGGAGCTACGTACACACAGCTGAACAACTAATCTTTCAGGACAAAAGGTTGGAAGACATTGTGCATCTTTCTCAACTTACAGCTAAGAAACTCTAAGGAAACGTGAGTGCCTACTCTGAGAGCCTGGCAGCCAGGGAAATCCCAAGCAAGGATACTCTGCTGCATCTTATTAATAGTCTTGGTCCAGCTACCTGCGATGTCTCTATTAGATAAGGAAAAGGGGAAGTGTGCCCTTGTAGCAGAAATGCTGTGTCAGAGCCTGAACCAGTGATGGAGCACCTGGTGGGAAGGCAGGGCCAACCCCGGGGAGCTCAGGTGCATGCAATGTACCTGAGTGATTGGAAGGGCTGGAGCCAGGATCTATCCCTTCCAGCACCTCATTTAAGGGTGGGCAGTGGAGGAGTAGGTGTCTTGCTGGAGATTCCTATTTACTTGAGGCCTTTTAAAGGTAAGGAGGTGGTTGTGGTTGTGGTTGTGGTTGTGGTTGTGGTTGTGGTTGTGGTTGTGGTTGTGGTTGTGGTTGTGGTTGCTTTGGGGGTTTATTCTCACTTGCTGTAGCCTAGAGCTTTGCTACTCTGCTATCATTGCTGTACTTTTCATTGTGTTATAGTGTTATGCTATTGCATTATAGCATTTCAGCCCTGTACTAGATTTTTCTTCATGGGCTACTGCTGGATGTTCTGCAAACCATGGGATGTCTAAAACACAGAATGGTTGGGGTTAGAAGGGACCTCTCAAGGTCACCTTGTCCAACTCCTACTCAGACAGGGCCACTTACAGCTGGTGGCCCAGGCCTGTTTTCAGGTGGCTCTTGAAGATCTCCAAGGGAGAGACTCCACATCCTCTGTGGACAAAAATAACGATAGATGCTTATGTCTAGACACTTGTATCCCACTGAGAGGATTTGTATCTCTGCTCTGGGTTTCTCTTCAGAGGTTTTAAGTTATTTACTATAAGATCTGATGGGCTAGTCTGCACATCCTTCCTGGCTATAGCCGTTACTGCTCTGGTAGCCCTTCTAATAAGGATAGAGTGGTTCTCAAGCCCATCAGGTATACTCCTATGAAGCACCTGCTGCTCAGAGTAATGAGATTTCATATTTAATAAAAATATCTGACCATCAGCCAAACAAAATGATCTGACTTAAGCATCTTTCCCCAGTTCGTTCAGTGGCTCCTGGCCTCATGGTCTCATTTACACTTTTAGCCAAGTCTCCTTATTAGGACTACTTCTGTTATGAGGCTCTTAGAGGAAAAAATGTTTAGGGGACTCCAGCCTGCTGCATTAAGCAGAGAAGAGCAGTGCTTGGTGGCTGCAGTGTCTAATGAGCACTATGAGAAGCACAGTGTCTATGTAAGGGAAAAAAATCAACATGCCACAGAAAACACACAGACTTCATACAGGCTTTGAAGATAGCAGGAAATAAGGAGATTTGAATGAAGACTTTTATTTTCTTTAAACTTATTCTGGATGTATCAGTGACTTATTTTAAAAAATGTTTTGGAGAGCAAATTTATCAGAGGTTGTAAATAACGAGAAATACTGAGTTTTACTCAAATCAATGTTTGTAGTGCTGCTTTATTGTGTAAATACTGCTGCATCTAAGCATGACTTTTCAATTTTAATTTCTGCATAAATTAACTTATCTCTATGCAACAAATAAGTAGCTTTAAAGCTAATAATCTTACAGGAATTAAGATTAGAAAGTAATGCTATCAATGACAAAGCTCAATAATGGCTTTTTATCTCTGCAAAGTGGTGAACTATAACCAAGATAATTGGGCTGAACAGAAGATACTCTTTTCAGGTGCCCTTTATTCTGCTTTACATTAATTACTCCAAGGTTTTGCTCTGGTCGAGTAAAATTTGGATGGCTTGTCCACCTCTCTTCTGAAAGCCTGAGCAAATGTCAGATGAGATGCTTTATGAAGACAGAAAAGGCATATCTGCCAGAGAAGATAAGGCCACACAGATGATAAATATGGAGGTGGGGACAATTGCCACGCAGATGGTTTTTCAGCCCACTCCAGAGAGTCAGGCTGGATATTCCCAGGAAGAAGAAACTTTGCTTTGAAGGGCAAGGTGCTTGGGTTGGAGGTTATAGTTTAGTTTTGATTATGAGTCTACTCAGGTTTGCTGAGTGAAAGTGATTTTTTTTTAACCCTTTATAGAATGCATTCTACTATTGTAAAGTTGTTTTAATGTCTAGTGTGGGCAGGTCTGCTCTAGGCAGGTCTGAGAGTTGGACTGACACAGATGGCTTTTGATCATGGCCTTGGAAAGCCCTTACCAGAGGGGTAGATTTCTCTATTAATGCTGTATATAGAGATTACAGTGCAACGTATCAGTGTGTTTTGATAGCTTTTATAAAGCCCTTAAGAGCAGGCTGTGGCCTCTCAGGGCCCTGTAAAGCACTACATAAAATCCATTGGCCTAAAGAAGAGAGACTAATCAAGAAAGAGATGTCTGGTCTCTGTCTGGAGACACTGGCTAATAACAGTGGGCAGGCAGGAGGGGCAGAGGCAGGTTTCTGAACTGCATCCCCTGCTTTCCTGCCAGCTCTTGCTCAGACTTCTCAGTTATTTCCTCTTGTGCCTCTGCAGCCTGGAGTATTGGGGGTGAGGGGAACTACACCTGGTTTTGTGCCCCACAGTACTAGCAGGAGGGATGGATGCTATGGGGGTTAGGGGTTTTGAAGGTGTAAAAGATGGTATATAATTTCCCTATGGCAAAAAAATAAAAATAGTGGGATAAAAATAATGTAATAAATATTAAAAAAAAAAATAGTGGGATTATGGAGTTTGAGAGGCTGATACAATACTCTCTTAATTTCTCCTTTTTGTCCTGTTACCTACTCATCCAAGTCCAGCTTTTACTTTGTATTCTTGTGGCATTTCATAGGGCAGTAGCTCAATCTATTTTTTTTTCCCTGTCCTGCACCTCATTTGCAGAGTAGGTCTTGCACCTGGCAGACAAATCAATTCTAAACCATCACATTTTGGTGCTGCGATCTGTGTATTTTATGCTGATTCAAATGGTGAGAACTCCTTAACTGATCCTAAAAGTTTGCTGTGCTAGTGCAGTTCTGCAGTGAACAGCCTAGTAGCCAGCCATGAGTAAGTAAATGGGATGAAAAAGGTAGTTAAAGATTCATATAATGCATTAACCATCCTTGTAACTTAATTCATGGCATGATATATACAGCTGACATCAAAAGCCTTTCATAGCTGTTCTTTAATTTCAGTTTCAGTAATGAATATAGATCCAATTAGAAGGGAGCTGATACGCATTCAAAAGAATTAACAATACCCCTAATTTTCATGTTGAAGTAATGGTTGCTATTATAGACTTCTTGATTTTAATCAGATATTCTCAAAAATGACAGCAAATTTGGATTCGTAATGCTAAGCTGATTCTACAAGGGATGGCTCTGTCTCTGCCTTCTTAAAAATAAGTTAGTTCTTAGGAGCACAGAGCAAAGGCTGCTTCTACACATTACCTGTTTTCATAGAACAGCAATGTTTACTCAGGAAACCAAGAAACAAATCAGCAGCAGCATGTCTATTGTCTCCAGATCTTGGGCCCTTGAGCTGAAGAATTTTGTCTTCATGGTGTTGAGAGGGATGCTGGTGGCATCATCACAGTTCAAACTGGGTAAGCGATCCTGATGTTTGTCACCAGCTACGGTGACCATGGGTAAAAATGCACCCCTGAATTGACCAGTAGGTGGTCATGTGCCTTTTTTCAGGAAGATATGTTGAACTAAACTGGATGAGAACCTGCCAGTGATGAGGGGTTACTCTGTGTCCTCTACATAAGGCTGTGTACTAGAAATTGATCTGTTTTCAGGGTTCCTCTAGTTTCTATGGCTTGGGCCAATATAAGCGCGAGGGGATAAGTTGGTGTAGCTGCAACACACAGGGAATTGATCTACTTACACAGGTGTTCCTCTCACTCAACTATCCTTTTGGTGAAATGTGAGGATGACTCTTCTGACTGGATGCATCTCCATCCTTTACTTGGCTAATATAGCCATTAGGATTTGGTATTGCAGCAAAACTTGTCATGTGAACAATCACAGGTGAATAGCATTAACTTTTTGTTATATGCAACATCTGAGACTGTAATTTAAGGCCTCTTCAGCTTAATTTACTTTTCTGACAATTTTGAGTTGGTGTGTACATCAGCTTCAGTGCGTGTGGGAGAAGGTGGGGTATGCAGCACCTCAGGTAGAGACACTAGAGAATATTACACTTTCTGAAGCAATAAAGCCAGGTAGCTTAACTGGGCAAATAAACCATTTAGAGAAATTGGAAGCGTACTGTTTTGTTGTCACAGAAGACAAATTCCCCAGACAGGCTCACCTTTTAATAACTACTTGACTGACGCGTGAGCTCAAAATGAAAGCTATTGATAGTGGCTGGCTGAGGCATCTGTACAGCAATACAGGGAAAATCTATCTAAATCTATATTGGAGGATACCTCATATGCAAATGAGCTGTTGATCTAAAGCATGTATTAGTCAGAATTTTAATCAAGTAGTTTGAATGAGAAAATTTCATCAGCAGGGACGCAATCTTTAAATTGAAAGAGCTATTGCATGCTGCTGAATGAATGCACTTGTGTTCAGATTTGGCCCCGTTTACAAATAGCTTTTAGATGTCCTGCATTTATTCTGTGTATGAAATTTGTCTGATGGGAGCTGTCTTTGGGATGCGCTTTGGGATGCTACTCCCCTCAATAGGTGTTGCACCTCATGATTAATGCTGCCTGCCACAGTGCTGGGAGTCTCCTTGCTTCCCTCTCCACGTTTTCAAGAGAAAGTAAGTTAAAGAAACCTTCATTTATAATATGAGATGGTGGAGAGATAGCGTGGCATGTGTCTTTGTCTAGAGTCAGCCCTGAAACTATATTAAAAACTATATTAAACACAGCTGGAACAGACAGGGCTGGATACACAGGGAAATACAACCAGTAATAAACAAAGTTGGGAAGGCAGCAGCTGTATTTCACAGCAGTATTAGGAAGGGAAGTATTAAAATCTGTTTCTGCTTAATAATACTAATGTGAAGTCCTTTGTCTCTATTTGATTCTTAGCAGCTATGGTATTTCTGTATGTGATATGTTCACTGTATTACCTGCGTGTGACTTGATCATATGCAGTGTTGAATTAGGTGTGTATGAGGAAAGAGAGAATATTAAGCCAAGAGAATGTTTTTGTAGCATTTCTTTTCTGTACCAGAATCAATATGCTCACAAAGAAAAAAAAATCTCAAGGAAAAGCAATACCTGGTATTGTGTTGATATGAGCCTGTAATGAAACTCTTAATTCCTTACTGTGCTTCCATCCTCTCTGTTCCTTATTTCATGCTACGTGGTTCACAGCATCAATTCCACAGTCTTTCAGTGAACTTAAGGTTTCCAGCTCTTAAAAATTCAGAACTTATT